GGGGCCCTGGTGGGCAGGGGGCTGTGCCCAGGGCTGGGCTGATTAGAAACCTCGATTAGCCCTAACGAGGAGCAATGAGTCCCAGCTGGTAGCAGGGCACAGTCCCACCCCAACAGCTCCTTCCCCTGAGCTCCATCCTGATGGGGCTGAGCCCACCTGGGAATGGGGATGGATAGGGATGGGCATGGGCATGGGCATGGGCATGGAGATGGGATGGAATGGGAATGGGGATGGGAAAGGATGGAGACAGGGCTAGGATGGGACTGGGAGGGAGATGGGATGGGATGGAAATGGGTTGGGATGGGATAGACACATGAATAGGAGGGGAAAGGGCTGTGGATAGGGATGGGATGGGAGTGGATATGGGATGGGATGGGAATGGGGTGAGGTGGGTTGGGATAGAGTTAGGGATAGGATGGGGATGGGTAGGAGATGGGATAGAGATGGGAATGGGAAGGGGAATGGTAATGGAGACAGGATGGGGCTGAGGAAGGGATAGGAATGGTGATGGAGATGGGACAGGACTGAGGAGGGGATGGGAAAGGGAATGGTGATGGGCATGGGGTTGGAGATGGGATGGGGCTGAGGAGGGGATGGGAATGGGAATGGGGCTGAAGAGGGGATGGGAATGGGAATGGGGCTGAAGAGGGGATGGGAATGGGAATGGGGCTGAAGAGGGGATGGGAATGGGAATGGGGCTGAAGATGAAATAGAACTGAGGAGGGGATGGGAATGGGGCTGAAGACGGGACGGAGCTGAGGAGGGGCTGGGCATGGGGTGGGAGATGGGAATGGGGTTGGAGATGGGACAGGACTGAGGAGGGGATGGGAATGGGGTTGGAGATGGGATGGGGCTGGAGATGGGATGGGGCTGTGGGCAGGACGAGGACAGCCTGTGCCCACATGCAGCACACGCTGCGGGTGATCGAGGCGGCACAGCCTCCCTTCCGGCACCAGACCAACGTGGCCTACACGCCGATGGCAGCGCTGAAACACGCCGACCCCAGCGGGGCCCTGGTCACCGACGCCTTCTACAAACTGGTGTTCAAGTACGACGCGGTGCTGCGCCTGGGGCTGAGAGCCATCCGCCTGCTGCGTTGGAAGGCACAGAAGGTCAAGGCAGGCGTGCCGCTCCCGGGCTTCAAAAAGGCCCCCCCGTTTTTTTTGTGCGGCTCCTGGGCTTCAAATAGCCCCCACAGCCCTGGCACGGCCTGCTCAGCCTGGAGGGCAGCCTGGCAGCAAGGGGCAAGGGGATGGGACCCGTGTAGGGTTTCGCTTCCTGCTCCCGGCCCGAAATAGCTCCTGGTGCTGCCGCATTAAACTGGGGAGTGGTGTTTATAACCAGCGCCGGGTGAGCAGCGCAGAGAAGCTTCCTCTGGGAGGGCAGTGTCTGTGACCAGGCTGGGAAGGGCTGGTAGCTGCCCCCTGCCTGCCTCCTGCTCCCTGG